AACTGATGCACTAAACATTTTCGGTAGTTGGACAGATGTAAAATTACTAGGTACAACAAAGGGAGAACACATAAAGGTCAATATTCAATCGATTATAATGGTTCAAAATTGTGGAATGCTCTACCCAATCATTTAAAACTCATTAACAGCCGTGCAGGGTTAAAAAAACAAAACTCAAAATGTATTTGTTTCCACTATAAGTTGGCAATTTTTGGTTGGTTAAATGATTGATTGATTAATTGGTTAGTGATTGGTTGATCAATTTGTTATTTAGTTGGTTGGTTTATTGGCATATTGAGTAAATCATTGGTTGGTTGATTGATTGATTGATTAAATGGTTGGTTGATTAGCTGCTTAATTAGTTGATTGATTGGTTGGGTGGTTGGTTACTTGGTTGGTTGATTGATTGATTGATTGGATGGATGGTTAATTGGTTGATTGATTGGATAATTGGTTGACTGGTTAATTAGTTAGTTGGTTGGTTGATTGGTTGGTTAGTTAGTTCGTTAATTGGTTTATTTATTTATTTGAGAATTGATTTTGCCATAATCTTATCTTAAGGCTGTTTTATATACAACGATTCATGAGGCAACTCATTGAGCAACACACCAGACATTTTCTTATGTTGGTCAGTTATCTCGTGTAAGCATTCTTGTCTAATGAATTGCATTCGATAAACAGATCACAAAAAAAAGCAAACGTACAGCAACTTTATTTGGAAAAATAATGTTCTGCTAAGACAAGTACAAGTAGTGTCATTTAATATATAGGATAAATACTTATCATAAACTGTTTTTTACAAAAACACTTTATGACTGTCGACATGTGAGAACATATGGAAGTCTTTTCAACCAGATTTTCGTTTGCAGAAATATATATTTTTTTAGTTGAAATATAGACAGATTAGTTCGACCTGCATTGCAATTTATTTTATAAAAAAGGCTCTATTAAGCATTTCAAGCTTTTGCGGTGACAATACACACGCAAACAAATTGTTTTGCATATTACAGAATTTGGATGGAATAGTACATTGCATCTGTCACACATTTCATTAAATTGACAAGTTATTCACGTAACAGCCTATGTACAGTATTTAAACCTGCCATTAGAGGGCGACAGTCACAAACGCCATCGTGTATCATAGTATACAAAAATCCAACACTGTTCCGGTAAGTTTGTAAGTCGTCTCTGACGATTTGTGCGTATATATCGTTTAAATTAAGTTACGAGATTTCATGTGATATGATCTAAAATTTTTATTCAACATACCAGAATACTACATTTCTTTGGTTTGCCAGATTTGACATTGTGTCCTTGTGTTGAAAGGGGGCTTTTACTGCATCGACTACACCCACCGGATATTCACTAAATATGTGTTCGTGCGATCAATACAGTACAACAATTACTACTACTACTATTTGAATTCTGTTTCGGCTAGTTTGAACAAAGGCAAGCTTGAAATGAATGTTTAGTACAAATGTATATACAATAGGTAGGCAGACTGTCCGAGTTGCGTGTGTCGTCATTTCCAGGTTAAGCCACCTGACCTGTAACCCGTAACCTGCATTTTGATGTTGCCGTGCCTTTACTGAACACGAGCAGTTTGTACAAGATATCGTAATGCTATAGGATAGATATATAAGTGTCAAAGGTCATGGGTGAAAGGGCAAATGGAAAAGGAAAAAGCAAAGT